GTCAGAGTGCTTGGGTATGGCTCCTGGCTCTGGCTGTGCTGGTGCAAGCCCTGGGAGGCAACAGTGGTAGCTCAAGGGATTGAGTGCCTGTCACCACCGTGGGAGATGTAGTAGCGTGAACTTGAACCCCGGCCCAGTGCTAGCCATCATGTGTATTTGGGTCCCTGCGACGCACACAGAGAGATGAATGGGCTTTCGTAGCCTGGCTTCAGCCTGGCCCTCTTGGCCTCCCTCCCTCACTGCCAGCCTCACCCCCTTAACTCTCTGCCTTTCAAATGAAGCTGTCTTTTTTTACAGCAATTAGAAATTTTATGGCATGTGTATTTTTTTAAAAAATCACAATCTTTGTAAAATTTGAATTTAAAAAATTTGCAAGAGGGAGATTGTTTTTCTAGTTGTTTTCGAGCTTGCTTTCTGGGTACCTTGGGCCTTGGGACCAGAGGAGCTTACTTGAGAGCTGCGACAGACAGCGTTAGAGTCCACGAGGAGCTGTGTGTGGGTGACCCTGCCTGCTGCATCCCGAGGTGCAGATCTGGATTCCCCTGTACGCTAACAGCCTGGTCACCATGTTACAGAAAGACAAACCAAGACTCCAGGGCATTTTGGTGATTTGAGACCTCAATTTTGAGGTGAAACGCAAGGGACTCTGAATAACCTGGAGTGCATATTTTAACTAAGTGTGCTCCTAACCGCAGTTCCCACGCAGGCACTCCTTGCACCTGCTCCCAGGACCTGGTTAGATGGGTCATGCTCCAGGTGGTCTGGCAGAATAATACATTTATAGAGTCCACCTGTTGTGTTCATGTGAGTGCCGGGGAGAGAATTAATCACACTTGTTCTTGATCCTGTAATCAAGTGTGGTCCTCATTTTTAAAAACTATTTTCTCTTTCCTCTTTCTGCTTTTAAAGATAATTCATCCCACTCCTGAACAAAGACTCACCTATCCTTAAAGAGCCGGAGATTAAGTGTGCTCTTGGCCAGCCATGACTCAGTGACAACCTTTTACTGCTGTCGTAAATAGAAGCATGAACTCTGTTCCTGCGTGCACTTCATAGGCTGGCTCCCAGGCATGTTGCTCTGCAGCTGAGGACTGCACAAAGCCCCTGAGTCACTCACTGGTCAGCTGCCGCGAGACAAAACATTCAGGGAACTGTCGACCCACGGGTGCCCTGGAAACCTTGTATCACCTGCTCTTCCTTTTCCCTGCCCAAGCCCCTCACTTCCCTTTTCCCTTCCTTCTGCACCGTGGCTTTTCCATTGCTGGGCTTTCTGGCACATTTTGGCTAGGCTTCCTGGTCTGTAGGTTCCTGTGATTCTGAGTGTTGATTTTCCCAGGATACCTGTAATGAGCAGTGCGGAGCGGGTGGTCCTAGCGCAGCCAGAGGGAGCGTGGTCTGGCTTTGACCTTCAGGAACAAGGGAAATGGGGGCGGAGACAGGAATGGCCCTTTGACTGCCGTTCTTCCTGGTTGTAGGGAGTGAGTCAACGTGTTGGCCAAGTCCCCTTGCAAACTGAGACAGTCCCAGCACAGCCACAGGATAACAGTCACAGTCTCGAGTTGTCTTGCAAAGGAGGAAAAGTGAGGCCACCCAGGGGAGTTCATCTTGTGTAGCCTTACCTTGGGTGCCTGTCCCATTGTTCCAAGAACTAGCTGGCTTCTGTTCATCTGTTGTCATCGGTGCCCTGAAGCCCAGGCACCTAGTACTTCTAGGCTCTCTGCCACTCTCCAGGAACTGTGGGTAGCGCCTCTTGGTTGGGAAGCATTTTAAATCAGCAAGAGATCAGGGCAGCTATTAATGAGGGCACAAATGTTTATTTCACACAGAAGGCCAAACCAACAGAAGGACAGAATTCTTTTTCTTTCTTTCTTTCTTTTTTTTTTTTAAGATTTATTTATCTTTTTTTAATTGGCAAGCCAGATCTATAGACAGGAAGAGAGACAGAGAGGAAGATCCTCCATTCTCCCTAAATGACCGCAATGGCTGGAGCCGAACCAATCTGAAGCCAGAAGCCAGGAACTTCTTCTGGGTCTTCCACACGGGTGCAGGGTCCCAAGGCCTTGAGCCATCCTCAACTAGTTTCCCAGGCCACAAGCAGGGAGCTGAATGGGAAGTGGAGTTGCCAGGACAGGAACTGGCACCCATATGGGATCCTGGCATGTGCAAGACAAGAACTTTAGCCAGTAAGCTACCGCCCCAGGCCCAAAGGACAGAATTTTAAGGATATACATGCCCAAGACAAAATTTTGTGGGGAGAAGTTAGTGTAAGATGGGCATTTACAAAGCATAAGATGTTTACAAAGAGGTATTTGGGGATTTTAGGGTGTTGATTTTGGCAGGAATGTTGTGATCCAAAGTACCCTGAATCCGAACAAGAGGTAAAAAGTGTGTTTACATCACAGTGATGTAAGCAAAGATCAGAACAGATAAGCTTAAAGATTGACAAGCATTGTGACTCTTGTGGCATTTCGGCCATGGATACAGGTAGGTTCCTCAGGCCACCTGCCTGTCAGGTTCCAAGCAAAGTTGCAGAAAGCCCTCCAAAGAAGGTGAGAGGCAAACTCAGTATCTGGCTCTTAGTTTCTGTTCATTGGTTGGTTCCTGTCTGCTTTCTTCTGCCTTTGGATAATTGCATTTTGTTTTTTTCTACGCTTTCAAACTATCTTCTGGCTATCTGGTTTCTGAGATCAGCTTTGGCTCATAAGAAAAAGGCTGGATTTCTTTTTTTGAAGATTTATTTATTTCTATTTTTATTGGAAAAGCAGATTTATGGAGAGAAGGAGAGACAGAAAGATCTTCAGTCTACGGATTCTCTTCCCAAATGGCCAACATGGCTGTAGTCGAGTTAATCTGAATCTAGGAGCTAAGAATTTCCTCCTGGTCTCCCAAGTGGGGGCACGGTCCCAAGGCTTTAGGCCATCCTCTACTGCCTTCCCAGGCCAACTGGATGGGAAATGTAGTAGCTGGGACATAAATCGGTGCCCATATGGGATCCCAGTGTTTGCAAGATGAGAATTTAGCCATTGAGCCATTGCAGTGGGTCCATTCCAGTTTTTATTTCTGGACTCTGGGCCACATGTATATTGAAACAAACCATGATTATTAGTATTAGTGTATTTTTTAATAATCAAAGCCAGGATAGTTTGTTAAACAAGTGACATTTCTGAGATAGAAACCCAAGTCTGCATTCCAAGTAGAATTGCTGTCTTCAACTTGCCCTCCATGGCACGGAAAGAGTGCTGTATCTGTTGCCATGGAAAACATAATGGTAAATGGTGGCTCCTTGTATTCATTCAGTAGTTCCCATAGTGAATCCTAAGACAATCAACCATTGACCTGGTATAACCTTGCCGTATCTCCATGATGTTTGGAAGGAGGCAGAGACATATAGTAAGGGCTTTGTGACAGCACCCTGAGCCTCTTCCAGCTCATTCTGATCGTGGTCCCTGCAGCATGGCGTCCCAGATAACTGGTCAGCTTCTTGCTCCTGTAGCCTTCTTGAACACAGCCCACAATAACTCACTGCTTCCATCTCTCCCCACCTTCCATACACACTCCCTGTCACCTTTCAGAGTAAATCTTAAAGTTCCAGCCAAGTCATGCTTTTCACACTAGTGGTACATGGGCGGTGAGGAGTACCTAGTCAGAGGATCAGTGACACACTGCACCCCAAGAACTGCAGACTGGGAAAAGAGACATCATCAGTCTAACTGCCTCATCCCACACAAGCAGGTCAAAGCCTCACACGGCAAAGGGATTTATGCAGGGTCTGGCATGTGTGGGCTCAGAGCCAGGGTTGTGCGTGTGGCACTGCCCTGTCTCGCTCCTGCGGCTTAGTTTTAGTCTTTGATCCTTGGCCTCCAACCCCCCAATACTGGCTCTGAATGAATAAAACAATAATGAATAAAATGTGTCACCAAAAACAGTGAAACAGACCCCAGGGAGTGCATGGGTAATGGAGCACCCAGCTTGGCACCTGCCGTCTTTAGGCCTCTAGACAACAGGGATCCAGGAGGGCAGGTACATGGATGTCTGTGATAAGTGGGAAGTGAAGGCATCATCTCAGGTCTGTGAAATACGACTGTGGGTGAAATGTCTAATCAACCCTCCTGCTCTAACATGTGTGTCACACGCATGGCTGTTTGAGTCCCTTAGATACCTGCTGACTTTCACACTTCTGGGCCCTCTGTTTTCTTGGACTGCCCTTTGGTTCTCAGGCCTACCCTGTGCCGTTCCTCACCATCTTTTCAGAAGGCTCATTTTCCTCTGCCAGCCTCTTACAGCTTTGGAGCTTAAGCCCATGGCTTTTCTGTCCCCACAGCTCTCCTTGTGTTATCTACTTTTATAGCTTCAGCATTAACTGTCGACTCTGAGTCTGTGTCCCTAGTCCTCCCCATGAGCTTCACAGTCATACCAGAGGACTCGGTAAACACGTCCACCTAGGGAGCTCATATGTAGTAGGCAGGAAGGGGAACTCACTGTCCCACCCTCACAGAAGAGGACCCCTAGTCCTCATCTTTTTGCCCCATCACCATTTACTAAGTGGCCTGCGGTGGAAGCCTGAACATTACTCTTTTTACCTTGGTCTATATGACTCAGTCATTGGGCTGTGTGTTTTTGCTTCTTTTCCATTTCTACCACTTCTCTGCCTCGCTGTCACTTGTCCTGGAAGATTCAATTGAGAATCCTGCCCTCTTGCTATTTAGGTGCTATTCCTGTGTATTCCCCAAATCCCTTTTCCCCCTTTCTCCAGTGGCACTGGGTTGAGTACATTGTAGTCTTTGGCTTATGACTTTACCCACTATAAGATCTTTGAAAATAAGGACTGCCTTGCTCACCCTTCCTTCCCTAGCCTAGGCCAGGCCTGGAGTCCTGCGGTGAGCATTTGTTGAAGCAACGAATGGCAGCCCTGGAAACTCTACTTCGAGAAAGTCTGTCTCCTGAGAATGCATGTGTAGGTCCAGAAATGCTGATCATCTCTTTTTCCTTCTTTTTGTTAGATTAACGTGACACAGTCAGGAGGACTTGTACCGTCACCCGCCCCCTCTGTGGGGGGGTGCTGAGAGTGGGGAAGCATGGAGGAGAGGAAGCATGAGACCATGAACCAAGCTCATGTCCTCTTTGACCGGTTTGTCCAGGCCACCACGTGCAAGGGAACTCTCAGGGCCTTCCAAGAGCTCTGTGACCACCTGGAACTGAAGCCCAAGGACTACCGCTCCTTCTATCACAGGCTCAAGTCCAAGCTGAACTATTGGAAAGCCAAAGCCCTCTGGGCAAAGCTGGACAAGCGGGGCAGTCACAAAGACTACAAGAAGGGAAAAGCGTGTACTAACACCAAGGTAAGTGTTTGGCAGCTCACTGGCCCTGGCATCACTGATGGGAGACTTTAACCAGAAAGAGTGAATTAAGTAGAGATTACTGGGGGAGAGTCAGGCAGAGTCTAGCCACCACCTAACATAGGAAATTAAGCTTATACCCTGTCAAAACTTTGTGAATCCATTATCTATGTTCATTTAACTTCCATGAACCAGGTTGTAGTCTAAGCATACTTCGTATTTTTATATACTAACATTTAAAGCTTCAACTATTTAAAAAATGACCCTGAAATAAAGTAGTTAACAATGTTTTAATTTATTGTACTCCAAGTTGAGTCTCATGTTGTTAGGATACTGGTGTCACTTAGCAGGGGAGTAGCCAGGCCCTGTTAGCATCCTATGAACATGGCGTCATTCCTGGCATGTCAGCATAACAAATTGTTTCGTTCTCATTAACTGGTCAGTTATTATATTTGTCAACTTGAAGATTTGCCGCAAGCTTGAGACCACTTCACGTCTATATTGCGAATGTCTGTATTGGTAAGCAAGGGCCTTTTGAACAAAATAGTTCTATGACTATTTTCAGAACATACAGGAATAAGTTTTCCATGAAGCAGGTGGATTCAGACAAAGCCCTGGCATGCGCACTCACCTTTGCTGGAATAGGTTTAAGGAGATGGAAAGGTACATTTCCTGCTTTACTCCTTAATGAGGACACTTTTTCTGAGAAGTCTGGAAAAAGTTAGCAGACACAGAGATTTTCAGATGTAACTTGTTCTATCTTTTCAAGCTCCTTCATTTGCTCTGTAAGGATACCTGGACATTGAGGTGTGGATATTTATCAACGCAACTCAGGAAATATGGAGGCATGACTTTTGCATGAGTGAAAATCAGACTTCTTTTGAGAACACAAGGCTTGCAGAGCCAGAACCTTGTGTATTTATTCCTATACATACAATCCAGTTAAGTGTCATACCTAATTGTTTCCCTGGACGTTCAGTCTGGGATTGGTGATTTTTGAATTATTTATATCACATAAATCTTTGACTTTAGACAGTCTCTCCTATCCCCATTCCGCACCCCTAAAAAAAACTAGACCCTTTTTAGGGGTCTGAGGTTGTATGCAGTTAGTATCTAAGTCTTCTTAGAAGTCTTCCCCATACTCTCCTTTACTGATGGAGGTTTAGATTTGATTTTGATGTCGTTCATTGAAAAGGTGACCCACTTAAATATGTCATAGAGCTTTAGGTGTTACGGGCTGTCCAGAGCGACTTTTATGCCCACCACTGACCTTTCAGGTCCTTCTCCACACCATCACTAAATCTTCATTCAAGCCATTGTGGGTGAGCTGCTGTGGCCCCATAGCTTTGAAGGTTTCAGGGTAGAGGGAAAGTAGCCCATTTGGGGTTTTAGGGAATAGTGGTTGTGAGATCATGAAACATCTCTAGAAACGATTCTCAGAAAATGCTGCCATTGCCCTAATCAAGAAGTTGTTTTTCAGTGTCTCATCATTGGAGCTGGCCCCTGTGGTCTCCGGACAGCCATAGATTTATCCTTATTGGGAGCCAAGGTGGTCGTTATTGAGAAACGGGATGCCTTTTCTCGCAACAATGTCTTGCACCTTTGGCCATTCACCATACATGATCTACGAGGTCTGGGCGCCAAGAAGTTCTATGGCAAGTTCTGTGCTGGAGCCATTGACCACATCAGTAAGTATAACCAACTCTCTAGTAGGATTCCACCCTTAACCCACACGTTTGCTGAGTCGTAGGACAAGCGGATTGTCTATGGAATTCATAATTGACAGCCCAGCTGGAGCTTATAGAATCTGCCTTACAGTCAACACACTGTGCTTAGAATCAGAATGGCTGCTATGCTGTAGGTCTGGAATCTGGGACTGTTATCTACAAATGAAGAATTTGACCCACGGATTTCTAAGTTAACTCTTGGTCTCTTCTGCGTACTATCAGTGTAGGGGGCAGATACTGAAGCCGTGCTTTGGGGAACATGACCAATTTGGGCCTCAACTCTTTGGTGCTGTTTATGGTCCAGTAAAAGAAAAAGCCATGCACCAGGCTTTCTGTAATGTGAACTGATATGCATGTCCCAATAAAGAACACGTACTTTGGGGATGTAGGGCCGGGTGAGCCACACTTAAAGAAGCAGAGTGTAGCTTGATTGGGCAACTCTCATTAAGTCTACAGCTGAATAACTCTTGGAATAACTGTTGAAATCTCTAAATTCATCCTGGACCTGTGCTTTTCTGAGATCCCACAGGATGAATTCAAGTTAATGTAATCAGTGATACTGTTTTTGTGGCTCTAAGTGACTTATCTATCCAAAAAGCTTTTCAAGCAGGATGTGCATTTTGTTTTTTATTGATTATCATTAATGATTCCAAGGAAGCCTTTATCAAGGAAGCTTTGTGCTGGTCTCCTCCAGATGTGTCCTGTAAATACGATCAACCCCTGAACCTTTCACTGGAGCACCTGTGTCTGTTGGTCAGCCTCTGGCTGACAGCCCTCACATTCTGCTGGAGGACAAGGCACTCTGCCTGCCTGTTGGGCTCCCATTGGCAAAGCATCTTCAAACTCTCAGTTGTCTACAAAAATAAAAACGAGGGCTAGCACGGGCTTGACTGCATCTTGGGAGTGTGACTCAGAAGGGTGGTAGTTGTGGTAAGCTGGGAAAAAATAACCAAGATGACCCAGAGGAGGATCTACATGTGCTATTAGTAGTCAGTTACAGGCCAGAGGTTATGTGTGGTCTTGAAAGACCAAGGATCATAAATTCAGTGGATTTTTTTTTTAATTCTGCCTTCGATGTAGCAGGATTTACCCAGACTGAGAGGGTCTTAGATCAGGGACTAGATTTTTGTCTCTGAGTACCTGTTGTGGCAGTGTTGTCTGTCACCGAGCAGCACTCAGTGACCGAAGAGCACTGTGACAATGATCAAGATGTTCAGTAACTTTGAACCTTAGTCTGTAACTGTGGACCAAGTGCTGAGAGGGTGCAGCTGAACTGTGATGCTCCTTTCCTCATCTCAAATGGGCGTGTGGAGACCAAGGAGGTCAGAGGATGAAGCAGAGACACTGTAGACATCTCTGAAGCAGTGTAGCAACCCTGCATCAAACCACACCTGCTCATCGTCCACCTCTTGTGGTGACTGTCGCATCCTATCCAGATGGTAGATGCTGCTAGGAATGGGAAGGAGAGAATGGGAAGCCCACAATCCCATGTTGTCTCGGAGATTTTGTTTGCTTAGAACACCTAACCTAAAAAGTACAATTGCCTTCTCTCTAGAAGAGCTGTTAGGAAAGGAAGAAAAAGGTCATAGAGCCTGGCTTGGAAAATACCTCCTACTGCAAAAGGATTTGGAAATCTGAATAAACTGTGCACAAGTGGATGGATGGACCATGAGCAAGAGCTGATGCTGGCTGCTGTCTTCCCAGTGTACTTTCCCTTTATGTGCCATTTACATAATCTTTGTATTCATCCAGGCATCCGTCAGCTCCAGCTGATACTCTTGAAAGTAGCGTTGATCCTAGGAATTGAAATACATGTCAATGTGGAATTCCAAGGACTCGTACAACCGCCCGAGGATCAAGAAAACGAACGTAAGTTGGATTAGACAGATGAAGGAGATGTCCAAAGGGTGCCGGTTGGTGGGAAACAATGAGCTCAAGGGAGAAGACTATGAATCTCTAAGTCCTTTTCAGAATTAGTTCAAGGCCTTTTCCATTGGCATAGCCTGGGCTTCCACCGACCTTTGGCTTCATGGGGAAACATTTGATGTAGTGATTGCACTTGCGTCGCTGTACTATGGGAAGTTCTGTGGTAGAGCCGTTGCTTTGTGAGCCCTCTTCAAGGCCTCTTGCTTTCTGTCGTTTGAACCCCACGTTTTTACGCATGGTGTTTGGGGCTCGAACTTTTATGTACTCGGTATGTCTGGGTATGGATGTGTCAATGTGACAAAGACCTTGCCTTTGATCCACAGGGATAGGTTGGAGGGCACTGGTGCACCCCAAAACCCATCCTGTATCAGAGTATGAATTTGAAGTGATCATCGGCGGGGATGGCCGCAGAAACACCTTGGAAGGTACTGGTCTAGGGTAGCTCGCCTGGTTCATCGACAAGTGTAAGCGTGTCTTCCCTGCCCCTGGCATGAGTTGTATTGTCATCAGTCCACACTCCCAAGGATCTGCATGTGTACTCCATATTCGAATCAATGGCTGGTCCCACCTTGACACCTGGTCCGTGGCTCACATGGTACAGGAGATGACAGGAGATGAGCCTTATTTTTAGGATTCCTGCAGGATTTTAATCTCCATCTTAGTAAGGATTCCATTCCCCGCCCCCTCAACAACATACATACCTTGTTTTTGCAAAGGCCAGTCGATTTTGGTGATACAGTTTGATAGAGAAACATCTCATTTTCAGATAGAGAAGAGCTCGGCTAAATTGTTTGCATTTATTCTGCTTCCACACCGTCCCCGGGGGCTCGACACATCTCCCTCGAGCAAACCACAACCACCTCCAGAAATTTCTTTTCTCCCAGGATTTCGTCGGAAAGAATTTCGTGGCAAACTGGCCATTGCCATTACTGCAAATTTTATTAACCGAAATACGACAGCAGAAGCCAAAGTGGAAGAGATCAGTGGTGTGGCTTTCATATTCAACCAGAAGTTTTTCCAGGAACTGAGGGAAGCTACAGGTTGGTATAGACACTGCCAAGCAGAAGAAATCTCGATAAGCACCGCTGATTTTCTCTCTGGGTTCTAAATGGTGAATAGAAGCTGGGAAAGACTTGTAGAAGGCAATATTTAATATTTTTAAACACATCGGTTAAGGACACAAAGCCCCAAATATTTAATATTTTAAAACAAATCAATTAAGGACACAAAGCCCAAACACTCCCATCACTGAGAAATAGTTCGCATCCAGAGAAGTCCAGTGACGTTGCTGTGCAGTCTCCTCTCTGCTCTTTTTTCCCCACCTCCCAGTCTGTGTCCATAACCAATGCTTCCCGTGTCACTGGGCCTGCCTGGCATTCTCTCCGTGTCACAGTATCAGGTAGCTCTGGGTCCTGTCCTTGTGTACTGATTTAAAGTGCTGATTCTGCCTTCCACCAGTGCTTCTCTGTCCTCTAACCCTGCTGGAGTGCTAAGTCAGGGGACTCTATACAAGCTGCGGATACGTGGTTCCTGGTTCTGTGGAGAACCCAATGTTGGATATTAAGTATGAGTCTTTCTGAGCACCAGTTTAGACTGAAAGCAAGCCATGTGCTATGTCAGAATGAGATTGTTCCATGATAGGTTTTTAGTATATTAATAGATGTTTTTCTGTGACAAAATAAATGCCATCACTCCTTGTCTCCTTGAATTTTTCTTTTCCTATATTAACATACTTTTCCTTTTTTTTTTTGGTCATTTTTGTTTTGTTTCAGTCATTTTTATGTATCTTTAATTTTTAAAATTTTGGCATTATATAATTTTGCTTGTCTGAAAGGCAGAGGAAAGAGGCAAACATCTTTCCTGTGTTGTTCGTACCCCAAATGCCTGTAACACCAGGGTTAAGCCAGGACAGATCCAGAAGGTGAGAACTCAGTCTAGCTGTTCCTTCTGGGTGGCAGGGATCCAAGGACTTGAACCATCATCCACTGCCCCCCAGCGTGTGCTTTGGCAGGAAGCTAGAATGGTGAGTAATGCTGCTACCTAGACTGGCACTCTGATGTCGGAAGCCGACATCCTGGGGGGGGTCTCTGGGGCGGGCGGGGGTTTCATCTCTGACAAACTGCTGTAGTTCAAATTGCCCTCCGCATGTCTTTGGGTTTTGTAATTTGCTATGCCCACCACGGGATGCCAGGGATCAGTCATTGTTGATTTAGGATAAGATTGGAAGGTGTTTTGGACCAATTCTAGGGGACAATGATGAAGGGGTCGGAGTACTTGGGGGGGGCGACCCAAACCTTCGAGTGATATCAAGTCTTAAGCAAAATTGCACAGTAGGTGGAGTCTGCTTGGAGTAAGTCTGTTCCTGAGATGGATGGGCCTTGACAGGGCTGTGTGCCCGGTAAGAGCGGCCCGGGTGCCTGACGGCGCTGGCTCGCCCTCGATGAACTACGAGTCACATTGTCCTGGTAGATGCATGCCCTGCTGTCCATTGAGCAGGCCCGGCACGAGTCTCCCTGGCCGCCCTCTGCCCGGCCACGCTCAGCCCGTACCTCCACGTAGTGGCGGGATCGTGGGGGGCGCTTGGTGGTCGCAGGTATTGACTTGGAGAACATCGTCTACTACAAGGATGACACGCATTATTTTGTAATGACAGCCAAGAAGCAGAGCTTATTGGACAAAGGCGTCATCTTGCATGTGAGCAATGGATTTCTTTCAAACCTCTTTCTTACTAACTGTTTATCATAATCACCAAGAAAAGTTTTTATTTTCAATGAATTTTTAATAGAATAGAATGAAAATGAGCATTGGAGCCATTACCTGGGAACAGAATCCCTGATGTCTTCAGTTTAATTTTAAAAAAATCTTGTATTGAGGCCAGCATAGTGGCTCAACAGACTAATCCACCACCTTGTGGTACCAGCATCCCAAATGGGTGCCGGTTCATGTCCCAACTGCTCCACTTTGGTCCAGCTCCCTGCTCTTCACCTGGAACGGCAGCAAAAACAGGCAGAAGTCCTTGGGCTTCTGCACCCACTTGGGAGACCCAAGGAGCTCGTGGCTTCCAGTCGGCTCGGCTCTGAGAGTCGTGGCCATTTTGGGAGTGAACCAGTGAATGGAAGATTCTTCTCTCTGTAAGCCTGCCTTTCCAATAAAATAAATAAATAAGTAAGTCTCAAGGAAAAAAAAATTATTTTATGGAAAATTGTGAGTATAAACCAAAATAAAGCAATCAATTCACGTGCCTGTCATCTGGCTTTCACAGCTGTGTGCACACGGCCAGTGTTGTTTGCATAATTCCACAGCCATTGCATCGCACCAAAGCAAGTCTTAGTTCTCGTCCCTCACGTAAATACTCAATGTGCTAGCAGGTCGTTTAGTTTTTGATTTTAGTGGATTCTGTATAGGACGGGTGATTGGTCGGTTACTAAATCATCTTTTGGCATGGAGGTGGTAGATAGAACAGGTGGAAGGATCGGGGATAGAGGAAAGGTGTTATGTAAGAAGTAACTGGTTTTTACGGGAGTCTGACAGTACTGCTTTTAACATGGCAAAGATTAGTAGAGGTCCAGCGTGGACTTAGTCAACATACATTTAGGCCGTTTATTTATTTTTTAATAAGCAAACAACAAAGACTTCCTATGCACGTGCATCAGGTCCGACTCAGCCTTTTTTTCTAGCTAATTGGACGATGTGTGTCTTGAAATAGGAATCCGATGTCAGAATCCCGGGGCAGAGTTTGTTAAGGAGAACTTCTTATTAGGTTGCATTGGTTTGAATATAAGAATTACTGTCCCCCTGGGACAAGAATGATGGAGAGGCACCAGATGGCCTGATTTAGACCGCGACAGTTCCCACCAGACTCGTGTCTGCATGTCAGGGAGTCCTTGTCTCCGCAGACCGGGCCTGAGTCAGGGCATTGCGAATCTGAATCACAGTGCTGCCTTATCTGAGGGCAGGGTGATGAGCGAGCTGCTGAGCACGTGCGTGCAGCACAGAGCCGCCCTGTACCCAGGAACCGCGCTTCTTTATCACACATAGAGGTCCTGTGTGCGCACAGAGAGGCGACCCTTCTGCCCAACACAGAAGCAAGGCGCGTTTGCTGGCATGCTTCAGAAAACGAGTTCGTTGATTGCCCGGGGCTGTTATTTTCCCATAAGTAAGAAACGGCCTTGGAAAGTTGACCCAGCCTTTTAGGCAGAACCGTGCTTGTCAGTTGAAATGAAATGGGAGGAGCCCCAGGATAGCAAGACCTGGTTTGCTTTTCCTTTGTATTTATTTCTCTGGAAGGCAAGGGGTGTATCCTCTGCGTGTGTGTCTAACTGCTAAACCCATTGCAGCTACTTACTCCTTGCTGAACAAACAGTATTTTCCCCGACCTGCCTGAGTGTTTGTGCTCGCTGTTGAACATCTTGTAGTGGTAGCTCGGAGTGCCATCAGGGGCACTCGGAAACCACAGATCCTCCTTGAGGAGAAGAAAGAACTTGGCCCGGTGTGAGAGGAAACTTTAAGACAGAAAACAGGTTGTTTTCATTCCTCTGGGAGGGTTCTTCAAAACCTTCTTGGGAAAATGGAGTTAACAATTACATTTCTTTTCTTTTTTTTTTTTAATTAATTTATTTTTATTATAAAGTCAGAAATACAGAGAGGAGGAGAGACAGAGAGGAAGATCTTCCCTCTGATGATTCACTACCCAAGTGAACGTAACAGCCAGTGCTGAGCCAATCCGAAGCCAGGATCCAGGAGCTTCTTCTGGGTCTCCCACACGGGTGCAGGGTCCCAAGGCTTTGGGCCGTCCTCGACTGCTTTCCCAAGCCACAAGCAGGGACTTGGATGGGAAGTGGGGCTGCCGGGATTAGAACTGGCACCCATATGGGATCCTGGCGCGTTCAAGGCGAGGACTTTAGCCGCCAGGCCACGCCACCGGGCCCCTACATTTATTTTCATGCAAAACAGTTTAGAAATCCATGCATAGTTTTTTCACGATATGCATTTTCTGTGAACTTGGTAAGCAAACTCAGGATGTGGAAAGCACCGCCATTGCTTGGGGAGTCAGAGATGGGCATTCCATAATGCTTCGGAAAGCCTCCTGTGTTGTTGTCAATACTGCTGGTGCAAGTTTTTCCTCCGCCTCCTGGACCGCCATTGCTCCCGCCTCCACATCTTTTGGCCCCAAAGCTTTGAGCTCTTCCCCTGTGGGCGACAGGTTGTACATAACTGAATGTTTCCCGTAGCCTCAGGTGCCATAAGCTAACCAGAAGATACTGTGGAAGGTAACATAAGCTTTTTCAGCTTATAAGATGCCATCATTAAATGACTGTATTCCTATCTGTTAAAACTCCTTGGGGAAGATCCAGTGGCATCAGAGCAGTGTGCCTTGCTCCAAGTGCATGGAAAGCCCAGGAGCATATGTTTGGGAGAAAAGCCTGTGGTGCCTTAGAAACAGTCCCTGCCTCCACTTCCCTTGGTAATTTGTGTCAAAGATGAGGCTTGGGTGAAACCACCTTTGGGAAGGGAAAAGCTGAGACGAGGTTCTGTCTGACACGTGCAGCATAGTCCCACCCAGGTGGTTCCATCTTGAGCCTCTCCCTTCTCTGGAGACAGGACTACGCTGACACGGAGCTGTTGCTCTCCCGGGAGAACGTGGACCAAGAGGCTCTGCTGAACTACGCCAGAGAGGCAGCAGACTTCTCCACCCAGCAGCAGCTGCCATCCCTGGATTTTGCCATCAATCACTATGGGCAGCCCGACGTGGCCATGTTTGACTTCACTTGCATGTATGCCTCCGAGAATGCTGCCTTGGTACGGGAGCACAACGGCCACCAGCTGCTGGTGGCCCTGGTTGGGGACAGCCTCCTGGAGGTGAGTGGGTAGGGTGGCAGCAGCGGGTGGTGGATCGTTGGCCTGGTAGGAGAGGACTTGAATCAGAGGGGTCCCTGTCATGGAGGGACCCACCGGAGCAGCCCCCTGCATGCAGGTCAGGTGACAGGCCACCAGGAACCCCGATTTGCCAAGTGCAATGGGAGCCCTGTGGCTTTTCTGACTTCCCCAAAGCAGTACTGTGAACAGAAAACTGTTTCTTTGTTCCTTAGGTTGGTTTCTTTCTCTCTTAAAAGGTAATTCATTTTTCTTTGTTTTCTGTCTTCTTCGCAGCCCTTTTGGCCCATGGGAACAGGAATAGCCCGAGGCTTTCTGGCTGCTATGGACTCTGCCTGGATGGTACGAAGTTGGTCTCTAGGGACAAGCCCCTTGGAGGTCCTGGCAGAAAGGTAACAGGAAGTGACCGAGGGCAAAAGTCCCTCCTCTTCTCATTTTCATCTTTTCTTTTCTTTTTTTTTTCAAGAGATGTATTTATTTGAAGGTAGTGTTACAGCCGCAGAGAGAGAGAAAAGAGAGAGCAAGATCTTCCATCTGCTTGTTCGCTTCCTAAATGATCATAGCAGCTATTGCTGGGCTGGCCAGCAGGCAGGACCCAGGAGTTTCCTCCATGTCTCCCACGTGCGTGTATAAGGGCCAAGGACTTGGACTATCAACTGCTCTTGTTACCGGCACATTAGCAGGGAGCTAGATTGACACTAGAGCACCTGGGTCTCAAACCAGTGCCCATATGGGATGCCAGCACGGCAAGCAGCAGCTTTATTTGCTGTGCCACAGAACCCTCCCCCCCTTGTCCTTTCTTCATTACAAACATATTTAAGAGAGGAAAGGAAAGATAAGATCTTGTAAACTTCTAGAAACTATGGGGATTATCTAATCTGCCTGCTCTTATCCGTTCTCAAATTAGGTTGGAAGTGGCGCCTGGGTCTCATTGTATGTATCAAACAAAGGTATCTGCTTCCTTAATGATAGCAATAGGAGCAAGTATTTCAGAACAATGAATTAGATCCTCTTGTCCTTAAACCAGAAAGACCAAAATGAAAGAGAATTTTGAAGCAGAATTTCAGTTTTGAAAGTGACTTCATTCAATGGAAAACACCAGATTTCTTGTCTTTCTCAAACCCCTGGGCATCAGATGTTTTGAAGTAGGTTTTCTGTTTTTATTTTAAAGACTCATTTATTTTTATTGGGAAGTCAGACCTGCGAAGAAGGAGGGACCAAGAGAAAGATCCTCCATCTGCTGATTCACTCTCCACGTGTCCGCTGCGGCCAGAGATGAGCCGATCCAAAGTCAGGAGCTTCTTCCAGGTCTCCCAAGTGGGTACAGGATCCCAAGGCTCTACTGCTTTTCCAGGCCTCAAACAGGGAGCTGGAAAAGAAGTGTGGCAGCCAGGACAGGAACTAGTACCCACATGGGATCCTGACACCTGCAGTGCAAGGACCTGAGCCAGTAGGCTGCCACACTGGGCCCTTGAAGTAGGTTTTTCAAAATCAAATTAAAATCCTAGGATTTACTGATGTGCTACCTAAAACATTCTGGATAAATTTCATGACAGGTTCCTTATTAATATTTAATTTGATTATCCTTTTCAAAAAAAGAAAAGCAGAGAGGTGGAGAAAGAGATCTTTGATTCATTATTCCTTCAATACCGGCTCCAGCCAGGGTACCAGGCTGAAGCCAGGAGCCAGGAACTCCATCCAGGTCTCCCTGAATGGGTAGTGTTAAATTCACCAACCACCAGAGAAAGAATAACTCAGCCAATATATGTGTAAAAAGTTTAGATGGCCTTTATTTTGGGGAACCACGGTCATGGGCTTCCCTTCACCGTGAAGCAGACAGATGTGAAAGAAGGTTGCTACAAAGGAAGAAGAGCGTGGAAGAAACGTGCAGGGGCCTTTTTAAACAGCCCTTGACATGGAAGCCAAAATGGGGGTCTCCTCGGCCCTTATTTGGTGAGGGGGTTTTGGGTTTGTGCCCCTCTTTGGTGCAACAGTGATTACACAGCCTGAGGGGCCCACCAGAATTCCAGGTTTGGTTGGACGCAAACTCTGGCCTCCTCCAGTTACCATGGTAACCATCAGGTAGCAGGTACTCAAGCATTTGAGCCATCTGTTTTGTTGTTGTTAGTTTATTTATTTTTTTTTAACAAAGGAGTTCTTTATTTATTTTGGAAGTCAGAATTATAGAAAGAAGGGAAGAGATAGAGGGAAAGGAAGATTCCACTTACTCATTCTCTCCCCGGATGGCTGTGCTTGCCAGGATTGACCAGGCCTAAGCCAGCAGACAGGCACTTCCTGTAGATCTCTGACGTGGGTGGGGCAGGGGCCCAAACACTTGAGCTATCCTCTGCTGGCTTTCCAAGCCAAATGAGCATGGAGCCGGATGGAGCCGGAGCTGACAAGACATGAAACAGCACCCATGTAGAAGGCCAGTGTCACAGGCAGCAGCTTGACTGCTGTGCTACAACCCTGTCTCCCACTGAGATCTTCCCAGGGCTTGCCCATCCCAGCACCTAGGGCCCAGACTGGTGCTCACATCTGGATGTAGTGGTTCCAGTCAGTGGCTTAACCCGGTGCAGAACCATGCCAACCTTTCTCCATCTGTAATATTTTTCAAAATTAAATGTTGGAATTCCTGAATAAGTAAAAGCAAAAGACTACAGTAGTTGTCTTCCCGAGTTAGGCATTTGTCATTGCCTGCTGTTCTGCTTGGTGTTTAGCCAGTCCAGTGCTTGTGGAATTGCCAAGGTGCTGGGTGCGGGAAGAAGGAACCGAAGTGAGGAGACTGCTCAAGGATGGGCATCTGACAGAGACTTCAGAGGACCTGGTATGCGGTCGAAAAAACAGATACGTTAGCAGAGAGGAGAAGATGACGTAGCTCGTGCTGGTCGGTGCCCTGTATGGGTAGAGCACTGTGTGTTGTTGCAGGGAGAGCATCTACAGACTGCTGCCTCAGACCACTCCTGAGAATGTGAGCAAAAACTTCAGCAAATACAGCATCGATCCTCTGACTAGGTACCCCAATATTAACGTCAACTTCCTTCGGCCAAGCCAGGTAAGAACTTCCTGGTGTTCCCACGTACGGGCCCATTCTCCTGACGGATCAGAACCAGCTGTGTTGAATGCAAATACCAAACAGAGACACACTGTCAGTGGTGATTTAGCCATTTCCAAACCAGCAGGCGTAGGGCTGAGCTCCTGTTTCAAGCTGCATACTGTAGCAAATAGCACACACTGGGGACGCAGGAGGCGTGGCTTTCCTCTAATGTTGCTGCAGCAACACTATAACCCAGGACCCCGTGTTTCTGTTTTTCAGAACTTCTTTTTTTTTTTTTTTTTAACCTGAAAAATGAACATAGTGCTAAGGGTACTTGGAAAAACTTTGAAAGATAAAAAAGAAAAACCCTCTCTCAAACTAAGCTACGATGATGATGATGACTCTGTTTTTGTACTAGTGAATTCTCAGAACTGCTAACGCCTCATTGAGAATGCATTGAGAATGACATCTTGGGGTCATTAATTTTACAGGAATGGTCCTGAGAGTGTGAAAGTGTTTGCACATCAGCCTCCTTGATAAATGAATATTAATTTGATCCTTCCCCTACTTAAAGGAAAGGCTAGGTGCTCCATATGCGTTTCTGATTGAGTCCCTCGGGAGGCCACCAAAGCAGCTGTTGGTTGCCTGCGGTGCCCAGCGGAGGGCCCGCATGGCCGGGTCACCACCTCATCCCACACAGAAGTTAAAAGCCTTTCTCTTCATCTCTGTTCACCTCCACCCCGCTTGCTTGCTCAGCCTTTCGCTTCAGTCCTTCTGGCCTTTTAACGTTTATCTTCCATCTTTCCAATTTCCTGCCAGGTACGCCATTTGTATAACACTGGAGAAATGAAAGATATTCACCTGGAAATGGAGAACCTGGTGAATTCCCGAACCACCCCAAAGTTGACTCGGAACGGTGAGTTCTGCTGATAGCCACGTTCAGTACTGGAAGCCTACTCAGAGAAACCTGTCCTCACACACACCAGGCTGTGACAGTTGTGCACAACTGGAGGGGACAGTGACAGGATGTCTCAGGGCTGGTTTTGCCCTAAGGACATTTATTATGATGTGGGAGGGTGATGCTGGCATCCAGTGAATAGAAACCAGGGATTCCATTGAACCTCCTTCAGAATGCACTGGACTGGTCCCAGCAAAAGCCGAGACTATAGAAACAGCTTATGCATGCATACAGATGTAGAGATGGGAGAAGGACAGGATAGAAGGACATACACTAAGGTTTGGGGAAAGATTTTATGAAGCAGTGGTGGCATAAGTGGGCCCTATGACATTGCCAGCATACAGTCAAGAGAACACCATTCCATGTTTTGTGTAGAATGAGGGACTCTGAAGATTGCTACGAGGGACTAGTGACAATGAGTACTCTCAGTCAACTCCACGTAAGACTGACCACAGAAGGAAATTCCAGAAGCAGGGACGAGTTAGGAATGCCTTGCAGCTTGGACAGGCCTAAGTCTGGCCCTGGTCCTGGGGTGGGAAGGGAAGCAGGCAGGAGAGCATAGCTGCAGGAGCTCGGAGTTTGGGGTGAGCTGCAGCCGGGCCCCACTCCTGGCCTGGGCACCTGTAAGGTGTAGCCCTCAGCAGCTCATTGGGCATCACTGAGCTTTGTTCCCCTTGTCTGAGAAAGGAGAGCAGCCGTACCTGCCTCCCATAGGATATGAAGATTGCATGACATGTGTAGTGTGTTCATTCTGCTGCCAGCCACTTTGTCACTGCCACTAATGCTTATGTGAGAGAGAGTATTGAGAGGCTGCCATGTGTAGGGAGTTGCCATTGAATGTCCTTTGAGGCAAGAGACAGATCTTTGTGGCTGAAGCTGCACCAATCCAAATAAGGCAATAGAGGCGGTGAGATAGCCTGAGTTCTGTTTGGACATTTTGAGTTGGATTTGCTGTGGCTGTGAGGATGGGAGTGAGGAGCCATGGGCAGTTGGAAGCATCTTTGTCTTCTCAGCTGAGCCACCCCTTTCCCCTCTTTGAAACAGAGGCCATGTCCCTGGTCACTGTTATCTCGGAGCCTGGAAGGTAGAAGTTGCCCAGATGGACAGACTCAGGAGGCATCTGAACAAAATTGATCTCTGAGTCAAGGGCTGGTACCGAGAGTACTTGTCTATGCAGATTCAAAATACATTTTCCCCGCGAAAGACCCAGATGAAGCTATTTAACTTGACTGAGTACACGCTGAATGTTTTTCAGGCATCTTGGGTTAAGGGAACAGACTTGCTCAGATGTGAATGGAAGTTCACAGATTTTCTCAAATGCCCCATACCGGAACTCTGGTGATGCCAATAAGAGAAAGGCATTTTGGGAAAGCAGTTTGGATTTTAGAAGATGTGTCAATGCACAGAAAAACTTGGAAGTTTGTTTGCCAACTCAGTTTTTCCAGAAGTGGTAACTTGTGACACAGGGTGTCATACTAGATCCAGGGTCCTTGGCCTTGTCATTATAGTCCTGAAGTGTTTCCCCATTTGGCAATTTAAAAGTGCAAAGTTGTGTTTGCTTCCAGCCTGAAGTGGTTAGAATGGAGCCTTTCTAATTTCATCTCGCCAGTGTTATTTTGCAAGGCCAAGGCTTCCTCAGCCAGATGCCAAATGCCTTTCCAGGAAACTCCTAGAACTGAGGCCACTGAGGGTTGCAGCTCAGGGGTGGCACTCTTGTTCCTTTCAGTGCCAGGCAATGCCCTCGGGGGCACTAGGCTCAGCGTGAACAGGTCCAGATCATCCTGAAGAGCAGCCTGTTGGGGGATGGACACTGGCCTCAGAATCTGGACAGATGGGTAGAATCTTACCTAGTGATACCATTACATAACCTTATTCCTCATCGCCTACTCCTTCCTTTTAAGAAAGAATAATGATTGTTTCATCCCTACCCTCCATTCAGTCACTTCTCAAACTGCCTATGTTCACTGACCAGGGGCCCGTACTTCCAGAAATAAGACACTATTGTTGTTTCAGAGTCTGTAGCCCGCTCAAGCAAACTCTTGGGTTGGTGCCAAAGGCAAACGGATGGCTATGCCGGGGTCAACGTGACTGATCTCACCATGTCGTGGAAGAGTGGCTTGGCCCTCTGTGCCATTATCCACAGGTTCCGCCCTGACCTGATGTAAGTTGTGAACAAGCTTTGTGTTTTATTTTGTATCTCCCAAGGATCTCATAGCACTCTGCTCTCCCCTTTTCCTAGAACAAGATACCTAGTGGGATACTTGGTCCAGAGGTTACATTATAGCTTCACATGTCAAGCATGATATAGTTCAAACCCAGGAATTAGCAGCCCAAGTTTTTTTTTTTTAATTAAAGATTTTATTTTCTTTTTATTGCAAAGTCAGATATACAGAGAGGAGGAGAGACAGAGAGGAAGATCATCCATTGGCTGATTTACTCCCCAAGTGGCCGCAATGGCTGGAGTTGAGCTGATCCAAAGCCAGGAACCAGGAGCTTCTTCCAGATCACCACGTGGGTACAGGGTCCCAAGGCTTTGGGCCATCCTCAACTGCTTTCCCAGGCCACAAGCAGAGAGCTGGATGGGAAGTGGAGCTGCCGGGATTAGAACCTGCACCCATATGGGATCCTGGCGTGTTCAAGGCGAGGACTTTAGCCGCTAAGCCACTACACTGGGCCCAGCAGCCAAGTTTTTTAAATCATAACATTCATAAGGTCAAAAGACTGGTTTTACTGCCCACTTGGGCCTGTCAACTTCAGACAAGAGAAACCTCGTTTCTTAGCCCCTGGTTGAAGTCTTCATTTCACCTCACTACCTCTGAAATGTTTTTGCTGTGAGGAAAGCTTACCTGGAACATTTGGCCCACTGCAGATAAATATGTCACAACCAAGAAAACAAAGGCAGTGCTTATGTCCATGGTTTATGATGGTCTATTGGCATTTTTTTTCTTTGTTTTGAAATTGTTTTTTCTTGCAGACATACTTTGTCAAGCTCAGGAAACTTGTGTAATATTACCCACCTGTACCAGTGACATCTCCTTTTGGCCATTCTTTGTTCACCTGTCTGCAGAGTCGGGTCCCTGGGATGACTTCCCATTGGCTGTAGTAACCAGCGCACTCAGAATGCCCCTGCAGGCATTCGTTAGCAAAGAGGCCAAACAGAAAGATACAGAAACTGGAGTAGAACATGTTGAATTGCCTTTGGCTGCCTAGCCTCTTTCTCACTTAAGGGCCCAGTTTTGTTTGTTGTGTTTTAATGATTTCCTAAGAATTCTGAATGACTCGGCTTGCTATTCCAGTAATGGTCACAAACTAATGAGGCAATAGCTTGTTTAAAACAAACAAACAGACAAACAAAGCACAAACCAAAAAAAAAAAAAAAAAAAAAACGAGCCTGCTCAGTGGGGATTCTGATTTGCTTGGAGAAAGGTAAGAGACCTCCAAGCACTCCTGTTCATGGCTCATCCGGAAGCTGAGAAAAGGTCAGTCAGGGCTTGTTTATTCCAAAGAAGGGGAGCAGCTCGAGAAAGATAATGGCAACAAAACAAAACAAAAAACTATGATGATACGTAGCATAGAACTGCTGTAGATGGTGAGCCAAATGGGATGGCGTTTGACATAGTGGTTAAGACATCACATGGGGACCCAGCGTGGTAGCCTACCAGCCAAAGTCCTCACCTTGATTGTGCCCTGGATCCCAGCAACCCCACTTCCCATCCAGCTCCCTGCTTGTGGCCCGAGAAAGCAATCGAGGATGGTCCAAAGCCTTAGGACCCTGCACCCACATGGGAGACCAGGAAGAAGCACTGGGCTTCTGGCTTCGGATGGGTGCAGCTCTGGCAGTTATGGCCACTTGGGGCATGAGATCTTCCTCTCTGTCTCTCCTCCTCTCTGTATATCTGACTTTGTGATAAAAATAAGGAAATCTTGAAAAAACAAAAGACACCACAGGGGCTTGCCCACAACCTATATCAAGAGTGCTTGGGTTCTACTCCGAGTCCCACTCTCAGTTGCACCTTCCTGCTGTTGTGTACTCTGGGAAGCAGCAGGTGGCTCAAGTAGCTGGGCCGCTGCTTTCCATACTGGAGTCCTGGTTTGAATTCCTGGCTTTGCCCTGGCTTTTGAAAAGTAGGCCTTTGGGGCCCGGCGCGGTGGCGCAAGTGGTTAAGGTCCTCGCCTTGCACGCCCGGGATCCCATATGGACGCCGGTTCTAATCCCGGCAGCCCCGCTTCCCTTCCAGCTCCCTGCCTGTGGCCTGGGAAATCAGTCGAGGACGGCCCAAAGCTTTGGGAACCTGCACCCGCGTGGGAGACCCAGAAGAGGCTCCTGGCTTAGTATCGGCCCGTTGCGCTCACTTGGGGAGTGAATCATCGGACGGAAGATCTTCCTCTGTCTCTCCTCTCTGTATATCCGCCTTTCCAATGAAAAAATAATAAAAATAAATCTTTAAAAAAAGAAAAGTAGGCCTTTGAAAAGTGAAACAATACGTGGGAGATCTTTTTGTTTCTCTCTTTTTGCCCCTTCTCTCCTGTTTGCGTGTGTGTTTGCACACGCACACACGCTTGCCTTCCAAATAATTTTTTTTCTAAGAAAGAGAAGATGGACCAGTGTTTGTTTTAAAGGAGAGCGATGAAGACAGGAATATGTGAGGTTTGCCAAGCAGGAGATGTCGATGGCTGGTTATAGAGAGCTTATTCCTGATGGAACAGACCAGCTGTTGCCCAAGAAGGTGTAGGGGAATTATAGAACACATAAAAGCAATGCGTAGGGAATTTGGCTGTGACTCGATGACAGTGACAATATTCAGGAGGAGTCTTCGTCGCTCAATAGCTCTGATCTGTGGAGAGGAGGAATTTTAAATACTTAGAATGCAGAAGAGTCAGTAGGTGAGTTAAAATAAGGACTGTCCAGTTACTCAGAAATGCTATTAGTCTTTACTCTGAATCGCAAGCTGAAAATATTTCTTGAGTTAGGAAATACTCATTTATCTAAATACTTGAGCAAACTCAGGAAATTTAGCAGTGGAAAAAATTTTTAAGGAAGGTTTAGAACTTCCCCTCACAGAAGGCTGAATGAGATTTATCAGAGCTGATTCAGTGTGTCAGCAGCAGGTCAGGTCCAAGGCCAGTGGATCTGATAGTCCCAAACCCTTGGGAGGAATCTGATCCCAACAGAATTCTTATCATCGTTGACCTTCATTTAATATATGACGATGATAAACAGGGTGCAAGAGAACATCTATAAGAGATAGGCTTTATTCTTGAGCTTACATTTTAGCGAAATCTATGTTACTGGAATAAAAGATTTCCCCTTCGATTGGGTAGGTCTTTAGTCGTTTCCTTTTGAGGATACTGTGCACGCCCTTACTGAAAGGGAAGGGACCCAGGGGCAGAATGTGCAGTGTGTACTCAGATGAGCCACGACACCTGCTCCCTGGAGTTTAGCCTCATATCTGAGAAGTGATGCCTCCACGACGCTGTGTTTTCTTCTTTGAGGGACAGTCACCTGTCTTGATACGCTTTCCTCATCCTGTTTCTCAGAGATTTTGATTCTTTGGATGAGCAGAATGTGGAGAAGAATAACCAGCTGGCCTTCGACATTGCTGAGAAAGAACTGGGCATCTCTCCCATCATGACAGGCAAAGAGATGGCCTCCGTGGGGGAACCCGACAAGCTGTCCATGGTCATGTACCTGACTCAGTTCTACGAGATGTTTCGGGACTCTCTGCCTGCCAGCGGTAAGGCCGGGTGAACACTGGGCCGCAGGGCCTCCTGTGCCCAACGCTTCTCCTCTTCCAGCTGCTTCCTTCATCAGTGTTGCTGACAGCACACCCAAGCTTCCCTTGTGTCTCCTGTTTGCTGTTTTTTCTCTTCTCTAGCTGTGTGGTCTTAGACGCTCATTCTTTCCCCAGTCTCTGATATGCTAAGAAGAATGTTTGACAAAGAGAAGCACTTAATAGATGTTGACCTTGTATTTAGTCTCAATGACTATTTTTATGTTGCTATCATTACTAACAGTGTTGAAGTGCACTCAGTTGGTGTTACCCAGCAAGGTCTCCCAGCTCCTGTACTCTGCGGCATTTCCTGAGCAGATGCACAGTTCTTACCAGGAACACCGGGGCGGCTTCCCACGGAGAGCCCTGGCATAGCAGAGAATGTGGCACTCACGTACTGAAACCCAGGACCTTGAGTCACTCACCTCTGCCTTCCCCTCCATCCTGTTCTAACCCGGAAGTGGCAGGTTCCAGCTTATGAAAAGCAAAAGTGCACCTATTTGTAACTGAAGAGGCTTGAGAGAGAAGTTATTTTTGTTTATGTGGATGTGAAAAGAAAAGACTTGGCATCCAGGCCCAAGCGCGCCCCTGCTTTATCATTTCCTCCTGGGAGCCACGTGCTTTGGACAGGGTCACAGACCCTGAAGCACTCCGAGGTGCTGTGAGCCTCCCAGCAGTGGTCATGGCTGGGCAGCACCCTCCAGCCTGTTGCTGACTTTTGTTGCTCTCCTCCACAGACTCCTTGGACCTGAATGCTGAGGAGAAAGCCGTCCTGATTGCCAGCACCAAGTCCCCCATCTCCTTCCTGAGCAAGCTTGGGCAGACCATCTCTAGGAAGCGTTCTCCCAAGGTGGGTGCAGGAGTCTTTCTGCCAGCTGCCAAGCTGATTGGTAAGGTGCAGTCATTGGAATAATGCATTTCTCTCCTCCCTTGGTCTAGGACAAAAAGGAGAAGGACTTGGATGGTGCTGGAAAGAGGAGGAAGACCAGCCAGTCAGAGGAGGTAGGATTCAGCTGGGGGTGGCATTCCTGATGCTTGAAATCCTTCCTGAATCACTATTACTCTACCTTTTGATATTCATCTCTTATGAAAGTTTTCTGTGGGCTCTTGCCCTAGTTTACTTTTCCAGAAAACACAGGGGGGAACATATTCATGTGTGCACTCGGGCCCTTCTGATGTCTTTGGGCTTGCACATTTGGCTAAGGGCGGTGACAACATCAACGTAAGCCTGGCCCTGTGTGCCGGTGTCTAGCTTACTCCCTTGAAGAGAACTGCTGAGCTCAGCCTAAAGCACAGCTCCCAGCCTCTGTGGCAGGTGTCTGGGGAAGGTGGCAGGAGGGTCCCCTGTTGCCAAGCCTGGTCCTCGCACGTTTGGTGTTCATCAGGAGGAACCTCCACGGGCCTACAGAGGAGAAAGGCCAACGCTGGTGAGCACTCTGACGGACAGGAGGATGGACATTGCCGTCGGGAACCAGAACAAAGTGAAGTACATGGCAACCCAGCTGCTGGCCAAATTCGAAGAGAATGCGCCCGCACAGTCCACCAGCATCAAGAGACAGGTAGATCCCTTCTCATCACACTTTCAGGTTGGGGTTCTGCAAAGGCCCACGTCTCAGGTCCGTGGATTCATGGGCAGGACTGATAATCTGGCCTTCCTAGTGTCTGGTGATGGCCAAGGTCAGCATCTTACAAGCCAGTCTGATGTATCCAAGGCTGAGTTATCCTCAGCACTCAGGTGTGAAGTACTGACAAAAGCAGCAGAGGAACCTAAGAAATATGTACCCACATTCGCTTAAATATGTATATACTTGTGCATACTACTATTTAGGTGGTGCGTGTATGTGGATTTGCACTTCTACTATCTGTACTTAAGTACATATTCACATAGACAAGTTTAAATTATACAAGATGTATATTGAGTGAAAATGCTGAAAAGCATAGTATAGTTAAGCCACTCCATTCCGTCACTGTCTTGTGGTATCTGTGGTCTTTTGTCCAATGCATTCCTCCGTCCATAGTTTTGATCATTCTTAGCACATACTTTCGTATCCTGTTTCTCATTTAGCTTTAGGCACAGTCCGTGCTGCTGCGCACTCCTGTAAGTATGTCCCGTGATGTGTAGGTGCCATGCTTTTCTTTACTCCTGCTCTAGTGTTGGGTGTTCCAGTGGTTGCTTACCCTTCCAAGATAAAATACAAAAATAAGCATTGTTTCAATGAAGATCCTCTTGGCTGTCACAGGTCATTTTCCTAGGATGTTATCAGGAATATGAGTATTTGGGGCCAGACATTGCACTCCTCAAAGTTGTCTGTGAGAGAGCTGGGACAGGAGCGTTGGACATGAGACGCTCTGTTAGGTGTCAGTCACTAAGGCCTTCTCAAGAGGAGGAGAGCTGGGATTTTGAGTTTCATCCTAAACGCTTCTAGAACATTCTGAGAACATGGGGACCCATGTTACATGTTCTCCTCCTTTCTTCGCCTTCTACACACTTGTCAGCCACTGTTCTTATGGACCAGGATGGTGGGAGAGACTGGCTCTACTGGGTGTCTGACCGCAGTAAACTCCTTCTTCCCGCTGGTCTTTGCGTATTAGTCTTTGCATCCAGCATTTTCACGCTGTGACCCACAGGAAAAACAAATGATCCTATTGATTGGGAAATATTGGCAGTTGCCCAGAGGGTCTGGAAGCGCCTGGTGGATTGCCCTCTCCTGGAGAAGGTGTCTCCAAGGCCAAGTTGCTTGATTTAATTGCAGGGGCAGGATTGGATTTCCGAATCAGAGTAGGTGATGTAAATTCAGAGCAATGAGCGTGGGCACAGGATAATCAGACTTGTGGCTTTTATTTCCTTATTTATGGTTTGGTTTTGTTTGTTTGTTTTGCTTTTCATTATTTTTTGGTTTGAAGGAAGCAAAAATTTCTGAGAATGAATTCTACCTCCCTCTCCCACAGTTTATACAAGGGTACTTCAAAAAGTTTGTGGAAGATGAAATTAAAAAGTAAGCTTATTTTGGTGCAGAAAAGTTTTTAAATCTAGATATAGTTTTTTTTCATGATATACGTTTTTCCATAAACATTATGAAGACCCTTTATGTGCATGGATTTCTAAAAATTTTAAAACAAAATAGTCATACCTCTCTCTTTTTCTCTGCTTAGCCTTTTTTTCTGAGATAAAAAGAGAGCTTCCCCATTCGCCTTCACTGCCCTGCCCACAGTGCCAGAGCCAGGAAGTCTGTCTAGATCTGCTCCGAGGGTGCAGGAACCCGGTAGCTTGGATTATCACCACTGCCTCTCCAGGTCTGCCTTGATGGGAAGCTGGAGTCAAGAGTTACAGCCCAGAATTGAACTCACACATTGTGATGTGGACCGTGAGCCTCTGAACCACTGGGCTAAATGCCCACTACAAGATAGATTTTATCTTTCCCTCATTTCTTCCATGAACTTTTATATATATAAAAAATGGCTTCGTAGATGTGTTTCTGTCCTCTATCAGAACCTTTTTTTGTGTCTTCTTTAATGTGTTTTATTTTGTTTTGTCTCCATGTCCTGTACCTCTCCCATTCTTGGCCTGTGTGTCACAGCCGACACAAGAGCGTGGGGTCAGCCATCCATCCTGCTGCCTGCCTGAGCAGGGCCGCCCTGCTCCCATCCCCCAGTGGAAACAGGTAAAGGAACTGCTCCGTCCCAACTCGGGGGCTGCTGCCCCAGGCCCCACCACCTTGCCTGCACTCCCGGACCAGCCAGCATCAGATGTGCGCTCGTGAATACTAGCTCACAAGGGCAGGGAGGCTCTGCGCTCATTTGAGCAGTGACTCTAGAAGAACACTTAGGATGTGAGGTACCAGCTGCAGCGACAGGCTGCTCATCTGGTACAGTAACTAGAGCACATGCCAAGGTACAGGGGTACATTCTCCTGCAGGGTTTTGCTGTCGTAATGCCTGTCCCAAGTTGATGACTTGGTAGCTGACACTTCATGAACATTAGGGGGTCAACCCTAATCCATCAGGGCTAAAAATCATAGCACCTCGAGTTAACACATCCGCTAGGAAAATATTAAGAACATAGTCTTGAGCTGTAACTTTTTTTTCATCCCCTGAAGATGTCTGTTGGCACTTTCTTGGTTTTTGTAGACATTTAAAAGACTCTCTTAGGAAATTCTCACTGAAGCCTTTGCAGGATCTCCTGGGAAAGCACCTACCCCAAGCAGTACAGACATGGACCGGCACCTGGTTTTTTAATGGCAAACCATCCGTGGGATTGAAGGCCACCATGGTTTTCTCCTGTGCCCCAGCCAAGCCAGTCCCTGCTGTAGGACTGGAACCCAGAGACTGAAGCCTGCTGGTGTCATAGGTATTGCCGAGGTGCTGAGACGTCAGTGAGCCAACCCCTACGGTGACTCCAACTGCCTCCTTGAGGGGCAGAATGGAGAGAACAGATTTCTTTCTAACCTTCCCACTAATGTTGTACCACATTCAAGCCAGAGCTTCTGAGGCTGAGATGGATCTTGGGAGCGATGCCCAAACATCTACCAATATAATCCAAACTTGCCCTTTCTCCTGAGCGGGGAGATCTTCTGAATGCATTTGTCAAGAATCTACTCGTGTTTTATTTTCTGACCTCTTTCGTGAAGTCTAGGCAGCAGGTGTGAGGTGTGATTTGAAAGGTTACCTTTAGCTGAGGATTTGTTGAAGAGATTTCAGAAACTCTAGACTCACAATATTCTTAGGATTAGGTTTTATTTTATTTAGTCTTAAAGACAGAGAGGGAGAGAAAAGGACCTTCCTTCCACTGATTTACCCCTCAAGTGGCTGCAGTGGCTTAGCACTGGACCTGGCCAAAGTCATGAGCCTGAAATTCCAGCTGGATTTCCTGGATGAGTGGCAGGTGCCCAAGTACTTGGACCTTCTTCCTCTGCTTTCCCAGGTACATTCACAGGAGCCAGATCAGAGGCAGAGCAGCTGGAACTCGAACCAGCACTTCAATATGGGATACTGGCGTTGCAAGCAATGGCTCAACTCAAACTGCACCACAACACCATCCCCTCATAATATGTTGAAAGGATGCCTGAGGTAGAAAAAAGGGTGAGGGAGATCAGGAGTAAGACAGCGACATGATGAGCTGAGGACTTCACCCATATTATGACAGAACCTCGAGCCACATGGGATGGGCCTGCTAGGAAATCACGGATCAGCAAACAGAACCTGAGGAGCCTGGCTGAGCTTGGGCCTCCATCCTGGTGAGGACTCCAATCAGCCTGTCATCTCATTGAGCTGTACTGAGGGTGCTGGGGTCTTGGTTTTTGTGGGACTGCTTCTATTTCTCCTATTTATCAAGTTTCCGGTCATCTCTAGTGTTTAGCTATGTTCTGCATAAAGGATGCAGTTAATCTGTTCAGCTTGGTATCTGGATAATTTGTGATCAGAGTTGGGAAGCAAATTCCTTGTAGACTTGTAGGGACAGCAGAACAGTCATTAAAGTCAAACGTGATTTCTGCAAAATGAGCAGCAGAGGTTATAGTAGACTAGCTGGACAGTGAACCTCAAGCAGACTAAATGCTGTTAGATTAATGTATGCCTTGGGTATAGGAAACTGGGATTTGTAAGCATATTGAGGAATTTTGACCCTTCTTAAGCCCATACAAAATATGTAATATTCACTTTCAACTTGCTGCTCAACTCTGAAGTCATGAGTTTCTCCTTCAAAATTTATCTCCTGAAAGGTAGAGTTAGAGCACAATACCAAGTGCTATAGAATTTGGGACAAAGGAACTCAATGGTGTCAAGGGCCTCTACTTCTCAGCCACCATAAAAGCTGGCCCTCTGTCTCCCTTGGGGAGTTGAGGTAGAGGGAAGAAGCTAATGGCATTGTGTGTGAGAGAGACTCACCTTGTGTTTCTGCTGACATGGTTCAGACTGACAGGAGGGCATGGCAAGCACAGTGTGGAAGAAGCAGAGTGAATAACAATCCTTTTGCCAGTGTTGTTTTTCGCTGTCCTGTGTAAACACCGTGGCCCTTCCCTTCCACACCCTAGCCTTTTGCCTTTTGATCCAAAATGCATGCAGCAATCAAATCCTACGTAGTAGCAGGCCTTGATTTTGACATACACTGTTGTGTGAATTTGAAACCAGTGGTGGAGCCATTCCACAAGTCTGATGATTCCCACAGCTTTCTTCAGCCCATTTCCACCCCGTCGCTCAGCCATTCCCTGAGCGCTGCCCCTGCCTGGCCTCCTACACATAGGAAATGGAGAACTCCGGAGGATACCCGAGCGTTTAAGAACATGTGGGTGCTCACACACAACAGAAAGTGTTCTGAGTCTTAGATGCACAAGGAAGAGGATGCATGGAGAGAAGCAGAATGTGAGCTGCTCAACTCTGAGCGTGCAACTCTACATGGTTTACAGATGATGAAATCGGCGTAACTTTTATGGCCCCTTCCTTCTGTTTGCTTATAGTTCTGCACAACCCTCTGACTGTGTGTATTAGGGGATTAAGAAGGGAAACAGGTTTGGGAGCTGATCACAGCCGGACTTAGCCAGAATAGAGGAGGGAGTGCCCTTTGC